ACTCCTGTCCGACCGCTCAGGACAGCACGCCCGTGCCGAGAGAAGATTGGCACTTAAAGCGACGGAGACATGCACAACAGTAAAGAAGTTACAGAGTTCACGGTCTCACAGGGGAGTTGCACTATGCTCGGTTTATACAGTAGGTTTCGATTGCAATAACGATAACAAAACCACTGGATGAAAAACACGTAATATTACCCCAGGATGCTGCATACTCTCATTGGAGGGGTTTCCGTTTTCTTTTTTCTCGAGCTGCCACCTTCTCTCTGTTGCACCTTTCCAATTCAGAGAAGTAGATAGTAGTACCAACCAGTGGTTCAGATAGAAATGGAACCGAATAAATGAAGCCCTGCCCTTGCGTTATTTCAGGACCTGGTCAGTCCGGAGTAATCGCCAAGTTTTGGTATCCAAGTCGCTGTTATTTCAGGATCAGGACGACCCGGAGTAATCAGCCGATTGAATCTGCACTCGCGTGAGTCCAACCGCGGCGAGCCCGTGGGTCAGAATTCAGGCGAACGGATTCTAAGACAGTTGTCTTAGTTGCAATAAATTGCGTCCTCTCGGATAAAGCTAATGTTGATGTTTATTCTCTCTTACCCTTTTTCTTCTGGAGCTCTAAGCTATACTTCGAGCTACCTTATACGTAAATCAAGGGTACGTTACTCATGGGCTAGAAGGAAGAGTAGATAATCCCCCTTTTAGATTACAGTACCTAATGATGCGAATAGACAGTCCCTTAAATCAAAGTACATGCAGAGAAGAGAATTCCAATAATCTCAATAGGCACACCAGCAAATCAGGCACGTCATAGGTCAACCACATCTTAGTGATTTCTACTTCAGGTATCCTTGGTCAGCGACACTCTCCTCTCTTTCTTTGCTGAGCCCTTCGGTGATGACTATTGGTGATATCGCACAAAGCGCGTCGCATTGTATGTCATTCATCAACTCATACTAACAGTGCTTCTGAAAACCAAACGACTGCCGAGCAAGCTCGCACACTGCCGTGCATAAGCCAGCTGAGCTGGTATCGCGCATAAAGTGCAGAGGTCCTCCACCACTGTCGTTTCCAGTCTCCTTCGACATCCTACCCTCCTGTCATCGGTTCTATCCAAAATGCAGCTCGACGGTATGGGGACTGCTAGAACCAAAACCACAACAACACCTACGATTTACCGCAAGCTACTCTTCGTCAATGCGCCGTCCCATCGCCCTGCAGGGTCCTGCCCTCTTCGTCTTCGTTAAGACCCTCTCGAGCTTGTTCGCGATTCCCCCTTGCGCCTCTACGCTCTACTGCTTAACTGTCACACTTGCAGAGACAGACTTTTGTGCTCCTCTGGAATCCACAACAAGGACATGTATTCATCCCAGTTACAGTTTCAGAAATTTATGTGTGGTGGTGGGGTCTTCTGCCTTGCGACTTCAACTGAATAAATATTTTCTACTCTTTGCTTCTCATCTAGCCATTAAAAGTGAGTTCCTATAGAGGACTCATTGATAGCCAACAACTGCGAGTTCAGGCCACAATAAAAAAGGGTGCCCCTATGAACCCTTTCCGGGAAATACATGCTGCGAACCATTTGCAATTCAAGCAATAAGAGCAACAAAATAATTTGCTTTTTGGCTTTGTTCGGATGAGGTCAGACAGGTACACTGAGGGTGTGTCTTAACTTGCCCGGGTTTGCTTTGCATGCCCGAGTTTGCCGGTCATTTATTAATTTATTAATGTAAGTACACGCCTTCCCCTTACGTTAGTAGTGGACAGGTGTCCTTTCCCTTACGTTAGTAGTGGACAGGTGTCCCAGAGCGACGGTGCTGACTTACAGAGGCATACAGCGCCATAAATTGCCAGAACACAACGGGGAGGACACTGTGGGTTCTACAAATTCGCTCCGAGGACGCATCGACAGGGACGTGACATGCTGCAGCGTCAAACAACTTCGCCCGAGGGACGCGTCGACATGGACGCGAGACGCTGCAGCGTCGCTCGCTTCCGACCCAGAACGTGGCCATTGCGGGTGATCCCAGATCACCGGGATAAATAATTGATCTCACCCCCTACTTCTCTCCTTACTACTCCGCGGGATAGCGTATCTCTCGCCGGCGCTGTTTGGTCAAAAAACGGATCTACAACCACTGCCCAGTATCGCCGTTCGCCTCCCCTCCTTTCTTCTCAATCTAATCACTCCTACGCAATGCACGGCAATAGAATCATCACTGCTACGACTGCACTAACCGCAACCGCAGCTCTATTCTCCCTCCTTTCATTGCACCAAGCTATTTCAAACTATCCTCGACCCCGAAAATTCACAAAGCCCTTAGATCTCCGACGGGGATGGACCTTTGTCAGAGCCAACAGAATTTTTAACGACAAAGAATTCAGTCGTACATACCGTATGGAGGGGGGATAATATTTGGTCAGAAACGCCCGCTGCAGACGAGGAAGCAATAGTGAGAGACTTTGCGTTGGTGGCCCCCGTCTTCCGAATGGTGGGAGTCGGAGAGATGCGCCAGAGGCGCGGAGAACGGCGCACGTGGCATTGAGGTGTGGAAGCCATTTTCAGGAAAGTAGTAGGCAGAGAGGTGCTTCGTAGAGTTGGGTTGCCTTTGCGAGATGGCAGGTGCAAAGATTTTTGCAAAGGGGGAGTTGAGGATGTTTTCGGCAAGGGGCAAGCACTGCGTCCACCGGAGCACAGCGTCCAAATTCAAAAGTTACAAACTTACAAAAGTAGCCAATATATGATTGACATTTGTCATTACACACTGACATAACTTGAGCTTGCAGTGTAGGGTCGTACTTAGTTTCAAATCATATATTAACGCCCAGTAGCCAATAGTAGTGCAAATCATGGCTCCGGGCAAGCAAACCCGGGCAAACTCGGGCAAGTTAAGACCCTCCCTGAAACGTGTGAAACCCTAGCATTCATTCATTCTAAAATTATTTTAATAATTTTACAATGAATGAAGTATTCATGTACGCCTTTAGGACGGGACAGAAACGCGTTTGTAGATCCCCTGTGGGGATCTACAAACGAGTTTCTGTGTCAAGTCCATTTTACGTCTTCTTTCCTTGTCCAACGAATGCCAAGTGAACTGCTCTCAGCAACAGTTTGTTGCACACTCAATGCGGTTTATGTACAACCCTGGGACAGCGAGCGTAAAGGTACTATGCTCAACACAGAGGGTCTATGAGCATACTCTACTATGGCGAGTTCAATTCATGTAATCCCTCTCTTGCAAGTGCCAGCGCTTGCCAGCATGATCAGCAACGCTTTTCTCCTGTACAGTCAACCACACTGAGTAGTGCACCCCCATGCAAGGTTCCAACAACATGCAATACTCGCATCTTGCACTGATGAATGGGGTCACACAAAATACTCGTTTACAAGCGCCTGGTGCCTCCCGGAACGACTCTGCTCAGCGTGTGCAGTTAGCAACGCGCGCTTTGCACGGTGCAAATGACGAACTGCATCCTCGATACCCGAATTGTTCACCATTTCCTCCACTCCTGTAAAGCAGGCAATTACTTCCTCAAAACCTGGAATAACATACTCATTTGATTCTATCTCTTTGGTTCCATCTGCAATCGTCTTTTCATTCTGTGTTGTGGTTGTGTCGGTGCCCTGTCACTGGAGTAAGACGGAGAGGATCTGTGGGGTAAGTTATGTTGGAAAGGTTGATCCGTTTACTGTTGGGCATCTTCGTCGGCCGCGTCCCCGTCTTGGACAGGTGTCTAACAGCAATGCAAGGTATGATAACCTGTGTTCACCGAGAAACCCCTGCATTACTCACTCGTGGAATTACTCAATTCGGCACTATTGCGCGAGTCCTCTCTGTATGTACACTGTAGCGTGATACATGCCGTGGTCGTGAGTCTGAACATGTTCTTTGTGGATGGTGTAGTGAAAACACCATCCTGAACAGTACTTACAGGCAAGGTAGCTGTTTTGTTTTTGTTTTGAATTCCAGAAGGCCTCGGTCGTGGTCATGTTGACATGTCGTACATGTGGTGAGCGGCACTGCAATTGTTCTTAAAAAGTAATGAAAATGAATGTGAGCTTACAGCTGGAACATCCCTCTGATCGTACCCTTGGTGTCGCAATTCATGTACGTTCTACAGTAGCTAATCAGGTCCGATAGACACTACTTCGAGGAAATTTGTGTTTTCGTCGAAAACTATAAGCTTCGGCAATGAGCATCAATTAAAGATAAATCAATTTGCGTTGGAAGAGTTGGTCAAAGGAACCTGCTTACTTTATAACATTTCATCATACCACTTAGAGCAGACAACTCATTTGCAAGTGTACGCAACATCCCGTTCAAAGCTATCTCAAGAGAGCAAAGCCAGAAACGACTGATTTGTCCTTTTCGCAGCTTGGTTTATTGCTCTCCTCACTTGAACACAACGCAATCCTATCGCTACAGTTAAGCTTATATGAGTAAGAATATATATGTATGTAAGTATGACGACTTTGCATATTTTCTTTCTCAACCCTCTTGATAAGAAGAGTTTCAAGAGCATGCGTGTATTCTTCCTCCTGATTTTTTCTATCACGTAGAAATCGGAGCGCCGAGCCTGATAATTTCCCCAAACTACAAACACATTTCCTATACGACTGTCATTTCATAGGTTGATACCTACATTGTTTTACAGATCCAGTGACACGCATGTTCTATGCCGACCAGACATGCCACTCCACTCGGATGCAATGTGCTTCCTGATTTTTAGTTTTTGGCAGGTGAGTGCTCTGGAGACTCGCTAGTTCGATTGTTTGAATTGGAAATCGTTTTTGAGGCCCTTGCTGATTTATATTTGTACAAAGGAATAGTGGCATAAGCACTTCTCCCGTTTTGAATTATTTCCACGAGGAAACTGTCGCTTTTGTGTCACTGGACTAACTCTCGGAAAGTATTTTCGGATACAAAACTATTGTGTTCTTTATGAATCCCGCAGGTGTGGCTGAGGACGCGTTCACTAGCCTTCAGTTCCACATGAATGATGTCCCTTTCCCATGTTGAGTTCACATCAACGTCGACCATTTGGAACAAGCCCTTCTGGCCACTACCAGGTCTTCATAGATTCTGTGAATTCAGACTTTTCGTTGGGGCTAAACCAAGCCGCACTCATCCGTTTTCCATATTCATTTCGATATATAAATTAGTTGTTAACACTCGGAGCAAGTTCTATTCTTCTCTATCCTGTCTACATCAGTGCAAAGAAGAAAGCATCCGGAAAAATCAACATGAAGTTCTTCTCTTTTACTTTGACCGCTCTTATCCTTACCGGATTTTCTCCTCTACTTGCGTTCCCAATTGAATCATCCCTTCGCACCTATGACTTACTCCCCGAGTGTTCACCGTGCCACAAAGGAAGTGATTGTGAGCAGGGCAAATGTTGGGGTTCTCCCCTTAAATGCACTGATGGTTCGTATGAGTCGCTGAAGAATTGCTTCGGAGCTGAGTGCGATGCTTGCTCATCTGATTTGCAATGCGCTACACTGAAATGTTGGAACAAGAAGTGTGTCTTTGAAGACAATGTCGACAAATGCTTTAAGAAGAAGGAATGTGAAGCTTGCAGCAGTGGTGAAGAGTGTGAACAGGGCAAGTGCTGGGGCGGTAAATGTACTGATGGATCCACTGCAAGCTTGGGAAAGTGCTTCGCTCCGGAATGTAGCTCTTGCTCATCTGATTTTGACTGCGCTACCAAGCTCTGTGAGAATCACAAGTGCATTTTCGATACCGCTGAATCACGTGCAAAGTGTTTCAAGAAGAAGGAGTGCGAGGCATGTTCGAAGGACGAGGAATGCGAGCAGGGCAAGTGTTGGGGTGGAAAATGTACGGATGGATCTGAGACCAGCTTGGAAAAATGCTTCTTGCCTGAGTGTGCTACTTGCTCCTCTGATCTGCAGTGCAGTACGAAGAAGTGCTTCCATCACAAGTGCGTCAAGGTGAGCCCTGGTTCTCTCTTCAAATGTTTTGGTCATCACGAGTACGATGATGACTATTGAGGAGGCATCGGCACCATTGTGGCAGTGGGCTGATCTACAACATTGAGATCCCTTGAAAGGGAAAGCTCTTGAGGCTATCCGTAAAGTACCCACTTTAAACCCGTAATGTAGGAGCGGCGAGACATCCTCTCAAAATAGAAAAGCAGCTCAAAGTAAAAGCTACAGCAGTTGTGGTCAAAGAGTAGAAGGAAGTCCTTTGCGTTATCAGGGCAAGGTGAGAATATCATTTTCCCACCTTTTTTTATCAGTGACAGAGCCAATCCATGGTAAGGGTATTCAGTAGCAGAGGCCTCCTTGCTTCCTCTTTTTTTCCCACAAAGACGTGAGGAGAACCCTCTCTCGTACGGAATATTAGTTGGACAGCCTCCTGGAAGAGTTAAGTATCCTCCACGGTACAGTAGTACTGTTGTTGACAACAAATACTGACATCAGTATTTCTATTGTACAATTGTGAATAATTCCATTTATGAGCCATACACTTCGAAGTATCGAATGGGCGTGCGAGGAAATTGCACTTATCGGTGTGACCGCATTATGAATGTCGTATGTTACACGTGTATACAGCTCCAGCACGGTACAGGTACCCCTTCGAAAGGTACAGTACAAAACAAATCGTGGAAGACACGTGCGGCTTACGCATCCACTCCTCCTCACGTGACCCACCCCTCATTTCACAACCCCTTCATCCCACCCGCCCCACCTTCTGAGCTGTTCCCCCTGTCGTCCACCGCGCCCTCCTCTGCCGATGCTTCCAACTACCACTCCAGAAAAGTATTGTCTTCGAAAAGCTGAAGGAAATTGTCAACAACGAAAAGTCCGCTTCACTTGCAATAAAAGGGGCAGAGATACTCCTAAAATCATGATAGCGTTAACAAGATTGTTATGAATGCAAGTGCTCCCAGACCACAAGGACCAATAGAAAAGAGTCACACGGGCAGAAAGAAACGATTCAGCTGGGGACGCCGGCAATTTATCGGACATTTGGCGATTTTATTGCGCGCAGGAAGCAGAAAAAATTTGAGGGGGATCGGCTACAGCGACAAAAGGCGGAGGAGAAGGCTGCCCGGCAAAAACAAAGAGAACCGCAGAAAGAACAGAAAGCAGAAGCGAAAAAGCTCAGGGAACAAAAAAGTCTGGAACGCATGAAAAGTGGCAAGGCCTCAAAGCCTGTCAACTCAACCAAGAAGCGGGCACGATCAACTCCGGTCCCAAAGGCGCACGAAGGCCCCTCCCCAACGTGCGTCAACTCCTCACCATTCCCCATCGACGTTGTCCCGTCCGCGTTACTTGGTCTCTTGGGTGCCAGTGAAATTACCAAATAGACCTTTTTCCAAAACTCTGTGTATTGCCGCACCAATAAAAGAAAATTCGGGGTTTCTCTGATCCAGTACGGCTAATAAGAGATTCTGTATCTCCTCCCGGTTGGATAGCAAACGCAGAGCATCCACCACCACCAGTCTGACCTCATTTGGGCAAGGGGAAGTAGTTTTTTAAGTTAATTTAAAAAAGATGTTACCAAATCATACTTTACTGGAGTGGTACCTTGCACCTTGCACGTCTCTGCACCTCGACACATCCTTCACCTACGTCGCGTAGAGCCACCGCGCCCAACACCGCTTCGACGGCGGCCCTCGCCCCCCTCCCGCGCAGTGCACCTCCTCCCACTTCTCCGCGCCTTCCGCCTTCACCCAGCCCGCCAGCGTGCCCAATCTCTTCTCCCCCTCGCTCCGCTCCGCCGTGTAGATCCCCACTTCTCTCACCCCACCGTGCCCGCCCTCGCGCTCTTCATCGCCGCCCACCAGTTCCTCCTGCGTCCGCACCAGCGTGCGCCGCATGTCGATCGCAATGTGCCGCCGCAGCCCGCACCCCGCCACAAGAAGGCTCGCGTACATCACTGCGAACACGCCCATCCCCACGTAGAACACCCTCGTCACAGCCGCTACCGGCTTTACCGTCGTGCATTCGGCGTACTCTGATGTTCCCCTCCGCACAGGGATCACCACGTTCTCGCCGCCCCACCCGTACCCACGCCCCTTCGCATCGCCCGTTACCGCGTATTTCGCCTTCGGCCCGAGCTCCCGGTCGGGCTTGATCGAGCTGAGCAGCACGTAGTTGAACAGAGACTCTCGCAGCCGGCTCGATTTCAGCTCTGCATTGCTGAAACCCACCGAAGCCCGGAACATAGATATATACCACATGCTCGCCCCATGTAGCTGCCCAATCCCGATCGACACCCCGCTCTCGTTGAACGGCTGCGCGCACGCCACCCATGGGTTGCCCACCATACACACGAACGCCGGCCCGGACACTTCAACGATGCCGGTAAACCTCCCCTGCGCGTCCACAATCACACTGGTCACCTCCCTCGCTTCCGCCGTAGACACGTTGTAGTGCTCGGCCTGCGTGAGCAGCGTGAAGTCCACCGCACCGCGCGAGGGGAACGCTTCTGGCCGCCCGTGTGCCGCTGCCTCCGCCATCTTCTGCAGCCCGTGCACTGTCACGCGCACTCTGAGCCCGGCCGTGTGCCCGATGTGCTCCGTCAGAAACAGTAGCAGCTCGCGCTCGTCTCGCACGAACCGTGCTTGTCCGTTGAACAACTCGCTCTCCGAATCGAATCTCAGCGTAGCCCGAGTCGTGCGGATGCCTTCGTCAGCTTCTGGATATGGTAACGCTGCCACCCCTGAGAAGCCTTCGGCAGACTTGACTAGCGATTTCCAGAGAAGACGGACAAAGATGGCGTCGACCTCGGGAATCTCCTTCTCGCCGTTCTGTCCATCGCAGATCTCATCCCAGACGAACGGAAGCTGGCGACTGTGCACCCATTGATCTTCCTTGCCGATTGTGATATATCTCTGCAGTATTATATCTCTGTTCCTTCCTCGCACTACTTGCACTTCCTCCGTCGTTCCCCATTGCCCGAACTGAACCACTGGGAAATCAACTTCCGGGCACACGGCGATGAACTTCTGCCTTGTCGCCAGAACTCTTTCGGCCGTTCTTTGCTCTCCGCCTACAGGAGCGGAGGGAATGTCGGAAATCTCTGTCACTGTACCTCCCAAGCTGACGGCGTTGGTACCGCGATGCCTGTACCTCATCTCGTGTAGATCCACCATTCTCCTTGAATGATGCTTGGAGGAATGCAGTGTCTGTGCGATACATTGACTTTTGCTTCCGGACATTCCCTCACTGCTACCATATTCGACCAGCACAGATGCCGTCAAGATAGTTGCAGTGATGAGAAAAGCAGCTGCTCTGCTCGCTTTGCTGTTGGCATCGATTTCCTGTGCTGGCCCCAATCTTGTTCCCATGGCAGACGCGAGTCTGACTCTCTTTGCGTTCATCGCACGAAGCCCATTGTATTTGGCCCAGAAGTTGCGAAGTCTCCCTGCGATTAGGATATCCAGGACAAAGGCGAGGAGGACAAACTTGAGGATGTTCCATATCGAAACACTGACTGGTAATAGGGTGAAAGGGTTTTCCGAGAGCATGTCCTCTCATGCACAGGAAGAGGGAGGTTGACGATGTGGCGAGGCCAGAGATCTGTGGAAAGATAAATGTCTTCGTTAGCAGCAACTGCTGTTCAGACTGCGAAAAAGTTCTTTCGTGGAAGCTGGATGGCACAGCTGGGTGTTGTCTAACGGAGGAGACGGAGTTCCATTTAGAGTGAAGACACTTGGGAGATAGGGGCGGGAGGAGGGCAGGGAAGGGGAGTTCCTTGCTAACTGGTGTCGTCAGCAGCAAGGAGGATGCATCGAACATCAAGTATTAATGAGAGACACCACTATGTAGCTATTACATTGTTAAGTTTTTGCTTTGTTGTAGGTCGGCCACTTTCCATCAATAAAGCAGGGGGCACGGGTCGGCAGCGAGTGTTTCACAATCAGCTAACTGCTGCTGCGACGACAACTACCGTTCCGTTGGCACTGTTACACAGAATTAGAATTGCTGCACAGCAGCTCAAAACAACACGCGGCACCCACCATTGCTGCATGCAGTTCCACACCGCTTAATTGCATGCCTGTCAGATGCCTCTGATCAACTGGACTTATGATAACCAGCTCAATCATGTGCTTGCAGTACAGCAGAACGTTTCTTACCAACGTGGTTCTACTCTCCCAGTCAGGCACGGAAGAAGGATCATCTATAGAGCATGAGAGACGTCGGGAAATATGGTCCATATATTATTGCTTCATACTGAGACTTTTCCATTAAAACCAACCCTCGTGCCACACATGTCACTACAATTGGTGTCGCGAAGCGTGTACGGTGTGAGTCTGCATTCCTCGGAAGAAGGACAGGGCAAGTCGAGTAAGTGGGAGTAAACTGTAAGCGTTGCGGGCGCCATCCGCGCTCGAACGCCTTCCCACCGCACAGGCCTGTCTTTCCTACCCTCAGTACGTAAAGCCACACTTGCTACGATTCATATCTTCAGGGAGGCCGAATATCTGTGCAGCTGCAATGAACCACAAAATGGTCTGTACTGTATATAACTTTGAGTTTGTATTGAAAATAAGCCCTCCTACTATTACTTTAGACATGAACGATATTTGCAAAGACTGTGAAAGACAACGAAGTACCATTCGCTAAAAATCAACGCGGGAGAGCCTCTGTTGCACTCTTTATCAGAAGACATCCCCACTGATCGGCCTTGGATGGTGTTCTTGTTGATGATTGCTCTTCATCATCTGACATTTCCAGCTGTGCCAATTTAGTGAGGTGTCTTCCTGAAGCTCAGTGAAGGGGCTTGATAGTAAAGAGTGACCGCTGTGGTTCCCAAAATGCGAACTCGATAGTAAAGCATGCTCTCGTATACAGTATCGCAGCCGGCGACATCAATCCGGGTATATGACACACATGCTGTGATTGGTTCCCCCTCCAGTAGTGAGCTCCAATAAGGAAAGAAAAGACGGTACCCTACAACGGTACAGTTGTAATCTGATCAGTGTGAAATGAGACCATAGAGACTTTGACACTTGTTAGAATTGGATCCATTGGGTGACAGCCCCTGTTCACAACGAGCCCTGCCAAAAGGATATCTTCGAGTGAGCAAGCATGAGAACGGCTCATCGTTTGATGAGCAATAGGTTGTTGGTAAGACGCACTTACCAACACAAGCAAGCAGAAACGCAGACCCAGGGAGCAGTGAGCACCACCGCGCCAAGGGTCACAGGGAAAGAGGCAACAGCAACACCTTGCACAGAAGGGGAAAGCTAAGGCAATGCATGTG